AACCAACCAACCAACCCAACAACCAACCAAAGAACTGGGAAGTAACGATGTAACGATACAGAGACTCATCAAACTGTGCTGCAGTACAGAGTAGTACAGAAAGCATCAGGCGGAGTACTGGAAATCTTCCTGCCCTATACATTTATACAAATATATAAACTCATATATATATATATGTATATGTGTATATACATACTGTATATGTATAGTGTATACATGCCTATATTGAGTATAAATATATAATTTATACATAAACATAAATATATACACACACAAATATATATTTATATTTATATATATATTTGAGTATATCTGGCTGTTGATATGGAAATGAGGAAACGTTGATATGGGCCCCATTGTTGGTGTAATATATGGTAATATTTATGAACAAAACTAAAGAGGCTGTGAGACTGCAGGAGACTGGGTTTCTCAGCTGAGATCCAAGTCTAAAGCTTTGAAAAAAAAAAAAAAGAAATTTGTAGAAATCACAAAAGATGTTTTTCAGAAGGTGCTAATTTCCCCAAAGGGATTAATTAAGTTATGTCCACCTTTCTTATTCTCTGTCAGTTTTGTGGTACCACAATCATCAGAGACACCACCACTAACAACAAACCCACGGTGTACGGCCGTGATTGGCCAGTGTCAGCTCATAAAACGGCTCACTTACAGGTGAGGAAGCGTGACGTCTTTGTTGTTCAGGAGCAAACGTGTCCCCGCTGCGGCCCGGCTGCGAGCTGCGCTGCTGTCCACGGGCCTCACTCGGCGGCTGCCAGCAGCAACACCCACTGCGCCAATGACAACAGATGGAGCCTCCTGCAGCGGGGAGAGAACAAAGGTGAGGCCGAGGGAAAAATAGAGAGAAAAAAAGAGAGAGAGAAATGCAAATACCAGAGTTTGTTTGGGAAAATATGAGGTTATGGTCATTTTCTTCCCCCAAAACATTCTGCATGGAAACCCACACTTTGAAGACGCTACAGCATCGCAAACTAATTTGCAAAATAAATTGAAGAAATATTTCTGTAATTGTAACACTGTACGTCTCATTATAACTTACAGAAAGACAAATTTCTATGCTGATGACAAATGTTAATTCTTCTGTGCCTGACTGCGGTCTCTATTTGATTACTACTGTATTCTGGTGAGCACCATGTCTGTGAAAATGTAAAATGGAATCTTTTTCCAGTCTTGTTGGTTCAGACCTGGGCTTCAGGAAAGAAGGGATGGAGAGAAGAAAACAAACGGAGAGGAATAATTGGATCATCCACTCTAATGCTGCGTTTATCTCTCTTACAAGGTTAATCAAAACACTGTCCCCTGTGTGTGTTTATGTGTGTGTGTGTGTGTGTGTGTGGCCTGAGCAGCCACCCAGAAATGTCTGTTCTGAAGCATCTGAATGTGGCAAAGCTACTGCTGGGAACGCCAGTCAGTTGTGTGTGGCCTAGACATCGCACTCACACACTCACACACTCACACACTCACACAGTTATTGTTGTTACGACTGTACCATCACTTTAATTCATTTTCAGCTTTATAAAACACACAGTATCATCAGTCAGAACCTGCATGTTCTCAGCAGTACCAACCCAAGCCACTAGGTGTTGACTCCAAAAACCACATACCGCTCGCAACTTCTCTATTAAAAATGTATAAGATCGATGTCTGGATTTCAGCACGTGTGTGATTTGGAAATCTTAAAACCTGTTTTTTCACCCCTTTGTTGGTTTAGGTTTTTCCAAACATTAAATTTTTAACAGTTTGAAAATCAAACACACACTGCATATTTAAACAACATCTCTGAAGCATCACTCAATCCTTCATTTGTCTTTTTGGTGTGGAATTTGTTCTGACCCACATTCACATTCTTCATCTCGTGTCGTAATCAATTTCAACTAATCAGTTATTTAAAAAAAAAAAAAAAAAAAAATCAACAGTTCCAGAAATGAACAGGTCACTGAACAAGTCTGAACATAATTAGAGGACCGAGAAAAGGGAAAGTGGCATCTACAAAGCTCACTGAAGTCAACGTGAACTGACACTGATACTGTATAAAAACACACACATGCTCTCTCTCTCTCTCTCTCTCTCTCTCACACACACAGACAGACACACACACACACACACACAAGCTGCTGGAGGTCGACAGAAGTGTCCAGACACTGGCAGTCGGAACTAACACCTGATGTCTTTGTTGCCAGGCTCCCGCCTAGCGACTGTCATCGGGGTGCAACCCGCTGTGACAAGCACGACCCTGTTGCTAGGCAGCCTGAACTTCAGTGACAGACAGTTGGAAAGTTGTGCGATGAGAGAGAAATTGAAAAATGAAGCGTGAAAAGCATCAGGAAAACGTATGCAGTGCTAAGAAGTATAATGAATGTCATTGGATGGCTCGTCAAGGCGTGACATTTGAACCTGCGAGCGTCTTCCACAGATCTGCCGTCTCTCATTTGCGCGTGCCGTAGTTCTTTTGATTTGTGAGATCACCTGCTGCGTGAGGCATGATGTCAGAATAACGTTAGTGTGTTTGTTCCGCACAGTCAGAGAGAAACACAGGGATCCTCGTTAAAGGATGAGCAGAATGTGTGTTCAGACGCCGCTGCTGTTAAAATACTGTCAAGAACGAACGACGCTGCGTTGACGCCTGTCCTCGTCCCTGTTTATCTGTAGCTTTGGCCTAGCCAAGGCCAAGAGACTAGTAGACTGTTTTTGTTTTGAGTTTTTTGAATTTCGTTTACCTATAATTCAATATAATTGGTTCAAAATAAAGTGTTTACTTGTTTGTTTTGGCACAGCACAGATTAGATTAGATTAGATTAGACTAGATTAGATTAGATTAGATTAGACTAGATTAGATTAGATTAGATTAGACTAGATTAGATTAGATTAGATTAGATTAATAGATAGATAGATAGATAGATATTTAAAAAAAATTAAAGTGAAAGGCAATAATCACTTAGCAGAATTTAGGTTTAAATGAAGTATCAATAAAAATTAGCTCTACAGACAGACAGTTTTTTTTTTCTAGCTAGCCAAAAGTAGCAGAACTGTTTTCTGGCTAACTCCTAAGCTAAGTAGCGCTACTGCCAAGGCAGCTATTGTATTTCTCTATCCATTAAATACTATGTTTATCTTATAACCATGGTGCTAAAGCCACTAAAGTGGTAGCTAACAAGACTTAGCTCTTAGCACTAGCGACCTGTAGTTGTACAGTATTCCCTCACGTTGTCAGCGTCAGAAGACCCAGAGTTCCTTTGGAGCCGAAGCAGCCAACGTCGTAGGCCAGAAAAAGGAAGCTACATTGAACAACCATAACTATAAATAATGCAATACATCAACGTAGTCGTCTAAAATGACGTCAACCTTTCAAGGAATAACGACGGTGGTTAAACTGTCAGAATTACACCAAGTAATGGCTGATAATGAATGAGCCTGAGTCAGAAGGACACTGCTGCATTCCTTATATAAAACTGTTTGTGTCCAAACTCTATCAGAGTTGGCAGCGTATGAATGCTGTGATGTGTGAGTCACAGTGATTTTGGCTGGTGAGTGTCAAAACTACACCCACAAGATCCAGGCATCGCTGCACAGCCTCCATCTAATTGATGCTGCGTCTTCACATATATAAATATTCATGACTGACTGAACATCTTTCAAACCTACAGTACCTCCCCCACCCCCTCACCCCCCCGCTGTCTGATTTTATTTTGTTGATAGATATTGAGTGTAGACTAAACACACACATCTGCACAACTCTGAACGCACACTTTGCCTCGTCCTACTGTTTGAGAGATTGCAATAGAAACTGGCAAAACATCTGTGCGTTTTACTGACAGACAACAGACATAAAAATCAATAAGTACAACCAAACTGTGGTGTGCATTTTTTTCATCCGAAACATTTTTCACCCAAAAGAAGTAAAATCTAAAAAAGGTTGCAAAGTTGTTAAACTGAATGAAAACAGGTTGAAGAAAAGACACAAAAGACACACAAACAAAACAAAATATGTGAAAAGCAATTTTCAGGAAAAGAAAATATCAAGGTTGTCCCTTAAGAATAAAAGTTGCTGAAGGACTGTGCATGGTGCGAAGATTGTTTCAGCCTTGAGGAGATCATTCTGATGTGACATTACACCGAACAACAAAACCAGCCAGGGTTTTATCATCGAGGACCCGAAAAACACAAATTTAATATCTATAGAACAAGAACCTGCAGTCTTTAATCCCTGTGAGATTTGAAATCCAGATTTAGGAAGTTTTGGTACAATACTATCTTAGTATTATATTAAATACTAAGTTATAGTATATAACTTAGTATTATAGGCCTGATATTAGCATAATTATAAAGTGATCATTTCTTTTCTCCAATAACAGAGACCTGATAACGAGATGCCTGTGTTTATGCTGTGATCACCTGTGGAGTCCTGAGACGTTGACCACAGTTTTGGCAGAAAACAGCTGCATATATCGGTATCCTGTTGATATCAGAATCGGAAATTAAGCGTTTGGAAAACATCGGTATATCGGATATTGAAAAATAAGTTAATATCAGCCATTACTAGCTGCTAACGCTACCTGACAGTTAATGGCAGCAGGAACCATAGTTGGAAGTAGAAGGTATGCAATAGAAGGATCAACATCTTGTCTGATATTCACCAGATTGACCAAGTGTATTGTTTGTAAACATTTCAGCTGCGACACAAACATCTTTTTTTTAAATCTTATACCATGTCTCGTTCTGAAGAACTATAGAGTGAGTGACTGAGGGAAATGGAGTAACATCACTTCCTACACAAACACTACATTTATAAAAACTGATCTTAACACACTACCATGTCTTGTAAGAAACCAGTTCATGTTGCATAGAATTTGTAACAATATTTTAAACAAGTGCATGTAAAGAAGAACTGAAGAAGCATCTTGGATGAGAGGTGAAACGTCTTCTTTGAGAAAATTTCACGTCCAGTTGCCTAACCGAACTCTTCAACCCTAAGTCTCTAGCTTTCCTTTCTAAAAGTCAGGCTGTGCTCAAACCAGGACAAAGAAAACACTGTTGTTTTGAGCCATATTGAACAATCACTGTATGTGGTAAAGACAGTTTCATGTCATTAGCTCTCGGACAGATATCTTCTATCATCAGACACCAGTGGCTGATCTATCAGAATGCTACGTCATGCTACGTTCAAATGTGACGAACTCTGATGCCGTTCCTCACTTCAAGGTCTAAGTTCGACACTAACGTGGGTGAATGCTGTCTTTGAGCTAACGTTCCAGCTTGAAATGCTACGTCTTGGTTTGGGTTCAAACAACTTATATCTGATTTAACTTTATATATATCTAATGAAACAGCCACTGAGCAAAACGCAGTATCTTGTAACATTAATCGTGTAACTTTGATCACCAACTGCTTGCTCTTTCTGGCAACACTCTCTGCATGTAGTGAGTTCAAGCCAAAGGTCATCCATGTAAATATCCCTGCCGCCTCATTCGCCTCCATCAATAATGCAGTCTCCAGTTTAGCTGATTTGTGTTTGGGCTGCAGGAGCAAAGCTTCACGGAGCAGATCAGGAGCACACCTGACCTTTTAACCACAGGTCTCTCCTCCCACATCTAATTGATTTATTCCATCTGCTTCAGACTTGGTCAGACATGATAGTTGAACTGAGCAGCACAGAATGTTAATGACTGTGTTGCTGCTCAAGGGCGGCAGAGAAAACCCACGACTGCACTCTGCCGAGTTAATTTCTCCAGGTACTAGTTCGGTTCTAACAGTATCCACTGCTGGATAGCAAGTCTGAAAACAAAAGAACAACGAAAAGT